GTTTGGCTCAGGGTGTTGTCACCAGGACACTCAGACTCCATATCTGAAATAAAAAGAATGAAGCATTTACTTCCTGCTGAGGTTTATTTGCATGAATGAAGCTTCGGTTTGTGGTCTGGCGGAAATACATTTTATTAATGGTGTTTCTGGGGTATAATAGGTGGTTTTCTGCCACAAATGTTCCTTTAGCCAAGCGGTATTTGAATTGGACCAAAGTGAAGCCACTGCTCGTGCTTATAGCACCGAGGATTTTCTTGCTTAGTGTTGAAATTTAAGTACAAAAGTCTTTCTGGTCTATTTGCTACAACACCTCCTCTCACAGAGGTTAAGAAGAGGTGAACAGGATGAAAAAGCACTTGCAGGGTTTAAAAAATCTTCTGTGGAAAAAAAACCATCTTTCATTTCACAAAAAAAAGTCTCCTGTAGGTTGTTATGTGCATAAGGTGGAGGCTTAAGAGCAGCCACATTTGCAGATGAACTGCTTTTCCTCGCTTCTCGAGACATGACATTTGTTCAGAAGATTAGCCAGGTTGTAATGTGTAGCATAATTGCACTGTGCGGATGTCCCAGAAGTGAAAACCTAATTGCTTGACAGGCCTATAACTTTGTGGTACTGCTCTCACCTTGTTAGGTCCTTTTCTGATGCGGTTCAAATGCAGGCTGGCCGCAGGTGTGCCTAATTTACCTCGCAACAGAACGTGTTGAGTTTAATTGCACAGTGGTTGTTAGGAAAAATTGGTGGGTGGAATATCAAGTGACTCACTGTATGTGGATGGCAGATGGGCGGCGAGAGGCATCAGAGCTAAGTGTATAGGTGAGGTGAGTTAATAAAAGATGTAAATTTTAGCTTAAAATAGTGGAGTCTTGTGGAAGGTAATACATTTTAATTAAGAGGGTAGCAGGCCTCATTCTAGCAGTGGGAAAAAAATCAGAGCAAGGGGACATGGCAAAGAGTGCATTTTTCTCCCTATCAGTATTTTAGGAGCAGCTTAGCCTGTTTGGGAAGGCTGTTTTGCAAGGCTGTATTTATTAAAGAAGACTAAAATTTCTGCTTATAATACAGAATATAACAGGGAGAGCCAGACCTAGGAGGTTTGAATTCTCATTCTTGTCTCAAAGTTTGAGATGAGACCAAGCAGAGCTCGGCTCCAGGTCCTTGCTTCTTGCTCTGCCATAGAGACCTCGTGGTTGGGGTGGGAGGGATGGGTTTGCAGTGCCCACAGTCCTTGGTGGTCAGCTGAGAACAACCACCAAGCCAGTCATCTCCTCCTGGCACGGAGGAGCACCCTGCCTGGGAATGTGGTTTTTAACTTATGTTGTCTTCCTCTGAAAAGCTTGTCCTGATGCCACCTGTGCTCCGTGGACTCTGAAAGCACAGAGTAAAGAGCAAAATAAAATATCTCAGCGTCAAGGAATGTAGTGGAGCTGAAATGAGAGTGCGGCTTGTGTTCACTTCAGCCTGGCATCAATATTTAGCCCGGTGCTCAGAGCCATCCTAATAAACCTGATGATGTCTAATTTCACCAAGAGTGGGTCCTTTTCACCAAATAATTGAACAAATACCGGTTCCAGTTGATGTTTAGTGAAAGGGTGCTTAATGGCCCTTTTTCTTTGACAGGATGTGAGCTCTCTGTATAGAAACAATTCATCATGAATGCTTCACGCTAAAAACAATCCACGAGGAGCAATACTTAGCATTCCTAGTGCACAATTCATTGGAGAATTTCCGAGCAATTTACAAACATTAGCTCAATAAGCCTCACAACACCCATTTGAGAACAGGAAAAAAAAAAAAAAAATGAAGCAGATAAGATACTGCTCTTCAGCCTGGATGTGGCACTAAGGAGCCATAAAGCTGGAGGCTGGTCCCAGCTCCTGGGTCCCCAGAACTGCGTGGTTCTGTGTGGAGGCCTTGCACAGACTCACAGTCTGGGTGGTGAAAGCTGTGCAAAACCAAATAGAGGTCTGACAGGAAGGATGTTACCTTTGGAATAATAGAATCATGGAATGGTTTGGCTTGGAAGGGACCTCAGACATCATCCAACTCCAACCCCCCTGCAATGGGCTGGGAACCTGGCCTATAATCAAATGGTCTGGAGAGAATAAGTATCTCAAATAACAACAGAAAAGAAAAGTAAAAACTAATCCAAAACATGGCAGATAAAATTAAGGGGAACTTGTGGCTTGCATGGAGGCAGCTTCACGGAGTTGCTGATAATACCTGGCAACAGCATCCAGAAAACCTGAGCATCAGAACTAGGAGATCATGTCATCCACCACAGAAATCCAGATCTTCTTCAGCTTGACAGCTGAAACCCCTATACAGGTTTTGGGACAGGAAGTTTTAAAGAAATGTGCATTCAGCTGAACTGTCAGCACTGATTTATTTATGCAGTTTCAGTAAACCTGGTTGTTTCCCTGCTTGCCTCTCTGATATGAGAGATTGTTCCTCCAGCATTTGTGTCCTGGGGTAACATCAGGGTGCTGCTCAAGGTTTAATGGAGGAGGAAGAGCTGGGATTAAAAGCACCAGTTTTTTTAGGGGATGTTCCCATAATGCTCCTGTATGACCCTCGAAGCTTCTCAGGATGTGTTGCAGCCACTGTTGTTCTTTCTGCTGGCCATGGCTGGGCCTTGTTGGGTGCTCTTAGCACATGGAAACTTCTGTGAGGTGTGTGCAGCAATAATAGTCCTAGTCACTTACAAATACTGACACGAATGAATAAATCAAAGTTGTTCATATTCGGAATGTGGAAGTTCTGGCTGACCTCACTGTTCAGCATGTGCAGAGTTGGGCAGCACAAGCTGCTGGATTGGAGCATCTGAGCAACTCTGGAGAAAATCCTGAGCTTTGCTTGTCATTAGTGGTCGGTCATTAGCCAGAAAACCTAATTAAGACATAGCTTTATTATGAAATATGAAAACATGAGTGCATAAGTAAAAAAGATGATGTCAGGCTGCGAACATCCTCCTGAGGATCCTGCGGTTTGCTTCACCTGCAGGGTGGAGACTTCCCAGATCAGCTCGTTCCTGCAGTGCAGGAGGGCGGCAGAAAGGAGTTCCCATCTTCCCGAGCTTTCCCCTTCCCTCTAAGTGCTTGCTGTGCTCCCCTGAGGCAGCGTTGCTGCAAAAACGGTTTATGGGGAGATGCCTGGATGATAAGGGTTAGTCCTAAATAATTGCTGGTTGCCGCTCAGCAGAAATAAGCTGGATTTCGATCCCTGGGTAGAGCGACTCCTCACAGCTGAAGGCTGGCAAAGGTTGAAGAGGTCGTAAGACAGGGCCTAATTTGCCATGTTCCTTCCCTTTCAAAAACAATGAGGGAGCCGGGGCCTTGCCGGTGGGCAGATCCTGCCTGGATCTCCCTGGAGTCAGCAGGAGTTGGATCGAGTCCCTTTGAATAACTCGAGTTTCCAAACCGGAGGCAAAGCCAAGTGTTTTTCAGAAGATTGATCATTACCTTTGGAATTTTTCAGCGTAGAGGTCATTACTGCTAATATAAGTTGTGAAAAAATGAAAAGTATTAAAAAAATAGAGACAAACTCTCATCTGGTGTAAGTCATTGCCTTTGAAGTCAATGAGTCATTGAAATCAACTTTCCCACACCGAGCTAAGGATATGGCCTGGAGTCAATACGTTTGTAGTTGTTGAAAAATTAAAAATATAAATTTGCCTTTCCTTGGCAATAATGTTCTGTTTATGACAGAGATCTTATGCTTTAAAATAAGTTCATTAACGAATAGGAAAGTAATATTTCACTACCAGTATTCTTTTGGGTATAACTATTTATGATTAGATTTTATTAAACTTCTAAAAAATTGGATTTACATTTTGATGAATCTAATAGATTTCAATTTTGTATTTTTATAGATTCTTTCTAAAGTTTTTCCTCAAGTGCAATCAGAACTGTTTGAAGAATGCAGGCAACCCACGAGACATGCGAAGATTCCAGGTACAGATCCCTCTAAATGCATAAATGATGTATACAAGACTTGATCACATCTTCATCTTGAACTTATGAAAAAACACAGTCAGTGCTTCCACTCAGTGTAGTTCCAGTACTTAAAAAAAATGCTGTCAGTATTTTACATTGCTCCCATTAATTTAAGTGCTGGTTCTGAAGTTCTTCAGGGGGCTGTAATAGATCAATGTTGGAGCAAGTGGATCTTCCCTTAGGAATTTTTTCCCTAATTTTCCTTCCTACTATTACCTTGTGTTGTAGTGTGCTCTTTGCTCAGAGCTGTAGAGGTTTTATGTAGACTGAGTAGTTTGATCTTACTTTAAGAACACAACTTCGGAGCACAGGGAAGTTTGGAACTCACACTTCTCTGGTTCACGACTTGTAGATCCAGCAGTGGTGGCCCAACCCACAGATTTTTGTTTCAACTGTGTTAGAAAATGTTTAATACTTCACTTTCTCCTTACAGCTTTTGAGATATCCTGTGGTGAATCATAGCACTACAGAGAGGCATCTGATGGGATGGACAAATGATTTCCTCTGTGTCTGGGGTCATTCGAAAGGCTCGTTAGGAAATAACTGCCTTTTTTTTTTTTTCCCCCAAAATATTTCACAATGATTCATATTTGATTCCAGCAATAAAGTAGTATTGAGATGTTCAGGACTTTCTCAGTTTGGAGAAGAATTACTTGTGGTTAAACTTGATAGCAAAACATGTGACATCTGTTTTCATGCACAGCCAACCAACCGGGGAAGCCAGCACCCTCGAGCCAGCCAACAGAAAAGATCTGTAGCTGGAAAAAAAAAATATTCCTTCAAAACAATCGAGCCAGGCTTCCATTTTTCATGCATCTCAGCTTCACGTGGCATCGGTGGTATTGATCCAACTGAACAGAACAGAAGGTCAAACCTGGAATGAGTGGAAATGTCCTCTTTGTCTCACTGATGACTAAATGAAGCATCAGTCACGAGTGATCTTGTGGTCGACAATGGAGCCAGTAGGCACTAGAAAGACTTTCCTGGGTCTCTTTAGCTAATCTCCCTGCCTCTCAGAAGGTTTAACTGGACTTAACAAGATGTCAGATCTTGAACAGTATTTTTACCTGGTTTCCCTGCCTCAGCACCTTTGTGGAGGTGCACTGCAGGAGTGAGGCGATATAACAAAGCGTAGCACGTCGACTTTCTTTTGCTGAACTACAGTATTTTCCCTTGGTGGCTGACCTATATAGACATGACAGAACAAAAATAGTTGTCATTTTCATATACACCTTGCTCTGTCTCTTTAATACATCGTGTTCTAGGAACCAAACCCAGAAATCCTGGCTGGAAATCACGCTTGCATGTTTTGCGATATTTCTGGAAGTCTGGGAATCTCATTAAGAGTGAAAGAGGATAGCCCAGTGGCCTGGCAGCAGCTCTGTGGCCGAGCCGAGCGTGCAACCTCAGCACTCTCCGAAGTGGATGTTGACAAGAGGGAAGGTGTCCACTTCTGGGAGGAGAAAGCTGGGGAAGCAGAGCAGCCTGGCGGAGAGCTGCCCTCGGGCTGTTCTAAAGGGTACCGCAGATGGCTGTCTCCAAGGAGGCAGGAAACACAGAAAAGGTGCTGTGATAGCTGAGAGCTAATTATGGCTTGTGAATAAGAAACAGGATCAGAGGTGATCCAAAACATAGACACAGACAAGAATTTTCTTCTGATGCCTTGGACCAGCTCTGTGCGAAGGAGGCTCTCTGCTCTCCTTCCACTTGTGTTCGTTAAGTGCTTTGGTTTAGAAGCTGGTGGGAGAACCCTGCAATCACCTTTGTTATAACCAAAATTTAGGTGAATGGAAGGTGGGCTGAGATTTGTCCTACCTTTGTCTGCCCTCTCCAGCTGTGTTGATAAGGTCTGACTTAGGCAGTGACTTTACAGACTCTACTCACCCCAAAGGAAACGCTGCAGCGACCGCTTCCTTTAGCCAACCTGGAACCACAGCAAAGGCCCATGCTGGAGTATTTAAATAAGATGTAAATGTCAGTCTGGGATAGCAGGGATCCACCTACGAAGCCGTGCTCCACACAAACCCTGCACAGCTCAGCTCCAGGTTTCCTCCCTGGCTGGTGCTCCTGCGCTGCCGCCTCCGGAAGGGGAAGGAGTCCCACAGCTCCATTGTGGAGGTGTTGGCATCGGGAAGGTTGTGCCTTTTGCATATGTTCCTTTGCCATTTTCGACTGAGAAGCAGCTGGAAGCCAAAGGAGGCCCTATCCATCATCTCTTCTATGGCCGGACTCTGAACCTGGACACAAGAATAGGAGCCTTTCACTCAAAAATAAAGGAGGAAATTCCATTGACATACCAGGGTCAATCACCATCCAAATGAACTTGAGAAGGGATACTTTTCATGGATTGAAAACACTTTCACTATTCATATTCAACTCGGCCTTTTCAGATGCAAAAAAGTTCATTATCAGACATTAAATGTAATTGTAAAACTGACCTGGAGATCATTTACTGAAGAAAAAATGGGGAGTTACGACGGTTCCTGATTTATTAAGCTTTTTTTATTTGGAATCCTCACAACCCTTCATTTGAAGACAGTCTCAAGTGAACAAATTTTAATTAGATAAACTATCTAATCAATATATCAACAGATCAATCAAAACAGCAGCTTTTAAAATGAGTGGCTAGAGGGGTGTTTCTGATACTAATGGCTAGAAGAATATTTCCCTGAATTGAATTCATTTGTTAGCATAATAGGAGATTAAACTCTAATTAGTGTAGCAGGTTCTGAAGAGAAACAATTGTGAGTTAAAAATCACCAGTGGTCACCACGTAAACAAAGATGTATTCAGAGATGTCATTCACTCGGTTTAAATAGAAACAGAAAAGTCGCCGGATGCTGTTTTGTCTTACGAGACCTGATTTGGGGAAAATCTGCGGGATTTTTTTGAAATGTGGGGTTTTGTTTTCTCTTCCAGGTTGTTGTATCAACAACAGTCAATGTGGATGGCCACGTGCTGGCTGTCTCAGACAACATGTTTGTACACAACAATTCCAAACACGGGAGGCGGGCTCGCCGCCTTGACCCCTCAGAAGGTACGGCCCCTTCTTATCTGGAAAATGGTAGGCACACATTTACATGTCCTTTTTTTTTATTTGCAATGCCTTTTTTTATTTTATTTTATTTTTATTTCCCTTTTTTTTTTAATAATTTCACCATACTTTATGTTCAGACACCACTACATTTACTTTTACATCATTTCTTCTCTCATCCATCAAAGCACCCATTAAAAAAAGTCCATTAGTATTTCTCAGACCTTGTCAACTACAACACAGACGCTTCTGAATCAGCTTCTGACTTCTCTCTTTATTTAATACTTACGGTTTTGCAGTCACAACCAATTTTTCATCTTTTCTTATTTTATTTTTTCTCCTTTTTTTTTTTTATTTCATTCTTGTTTTGCTTGCAGCTTTTTCTTGCTCTTTAATTTGACTTGATTTTATTTTGGCTTGTCATATTCCTTGATCCAGAGGTACAGTCTCAGGTTATGTATGCAAGCTTAAGTGGATGGTAAAAACATGACCGAATCTGTAAAGAATTTACTGTGAGGTCAATTTCCTGTGCCTGGGCCTTACTGCAGATTACGGCAGGAGGGGGTTTGGATGAGAAAAACAGCATAAAATGTTTTTCTTCAGCCTGACTCAATGTGATTGACTTTTTGCCTGAACTGCTAAAAGAAGATAGGCTGAGATGAAGAGGAGAATGGAAAGTGTCTCTGAAAATCCAGAATTGTGAAATCCTATCTTTTTGGAGCCCATCAGTCCCTGAATCACTCACACACAATTGCAGCTGCGCCTGGACACATGCACATATGTATTTATTGTCCTGCAAAGCCCCAAATAGTAATTTGGATTTAAATATCACTTCTTTTGGACTGTAAAATAAACCAGTGTAAGGATGCAAACCAGCTCTCAGGGAGCCTCTGTTTAATAAAATTAGGATAGCAAAGGATAGGATAGGATAGGATAGGATAGGATAGGATAGGATAGGATAGGATAGGATAGGATAGGATAGGATAGGATAGGATAGGATAGGATAGGATAGGATAGGATAGGATAGGATAGGATAGGATAGGACAGGATGGGTTAAGACAGAACAGAACAGAACAAAATGGAATGGAATGGAATGGAATGGAATGGAATGGAATGGAATGGAATGGAATGGAATAGAATAGAATAGAATAGAATAGAATAGAATAGAATAGAATAGAATAGAATAGAATAGAATAGAATAGAATAGAATAGAATAGAATAGAATAGAATATTTTCAGTTGGAAGGATCATCCAGTCCAACTTCTTGAAGTTGGATAGCTTAGTGTTGCCCAAAATTTAAATACATTTAATTTTAATGCATCTTGAGTTCTGGAAGAGTTAGACTCTCAAACCTGCTATGACTTGACTTATGACCTGACTTGCTGGGCCACACACACCAGTTTCCACAGGACTTCTCTTGCGAGTTGTTACTAACACACTGACAGGATCATGGCTTTTTACACTAATAAAATTAATTAAAGTGATAACAATACTACGCTGCTGATACAATCGCTGTCATTTTACGTTTCAAATAGTATTTACCAACAGTCAGGGAAGGGAGTGAATGAGGCGAGCACCAACTATCAGAAGGAAACGCGATCTAGACATCAAAAAATGGAAAGTGATTTACAAATCTGCCGCGGTCTGCACACACACACAACCCTAATTTGTTTTTCTGCATTAATAACTAAGGTATAAGAGACCAAAAATATAATAATTAAAGGTCGCCCTGAGCACCAGAGTCATTATGGTCTATGACGTATTGTTTATCTCTTTCATATGCGCGGAAAGTAGGTGTGTGTTTTGCCTAGCAACCGTCACTAATGAGGTTCACAATTAAGAAGGCTGAATCCTCTCCCCTCGTCCTCTCCTTCCCCAGAGAGCCAGAACTAGCAACATTATAGGTTCAAGTAAGCATGCTCAGCCCTGTGGTGTTAGGTTTTAGTCTAGGTCCAAATTCAGCCTCTTCTAATGAGCTATTATGATCTTAGCAAAATACGAGTATTTATTTTTGTAAGCTGCATGAAAAGAATTTGACTCTGAGCAGCAAATATCGCTTAGAAAAATAAAGGCCACTTTTCCATGCTACAGAAAATCTACATAAATGTCACTTACCAGCAGCTCCTTTTCTTGGCGATACGGTAATTGATTTGCTTTCTTTAAATGTTAAAAAACACAGTGCCAAATCCTCTTTGCCTAACATCCCATAAATGCTCAGTCGAGTAAGCTGCACCGTTGCAAATGAATGTGAAAATCTGAACGGCTGCTCCTTAAAGTCCGACTTTTAATAACAATGATGGTAAGGGAACAACTCAGAGTTTATAAACGCTGCTGGAACAGGGCGGCAGAGAATCCTGACGCCCTTGGATGGAGGAGGGATGGCAGGGATGGAGTTCCACACACTCTGGAAGTTGGTGGGATGCAGGAGTTCTCAGGGTCCTCATGAGCAGGGTCATGCTAAGGAAAGGAGCTTCACCACCAGGTTCTGCTCCCGCTGCAATCACCGCCCACCTTCCTGGGATTTTAGTGTGCCCGGAATAAGTTTCCACTCCTAAAAATGGGAATGGGTGTGACCTGCAAAGAAAATTCCCCAAATCCTGACCTGGCTTACTTGAAAATCTTTGTTTCCTTCTGGTCAGAGCATAACCCTGGGTACCGGTGCCTTCTGAGAGCGATGGGGTGGGTTTGTGCCATGCTCCAAGTTCCTCCTGTCCCGGCACCTTCCGTGGCAAATGGAATGCTTTGCATTAGTAACACATTCTTTAAAGAAAAGTACCCGCTAAAAACCACGATATTTACTTCTCCGTAGCCTCTCCTTGCTAACACCTCATTATCCAATCATCTAATATTCACCAGCAGTATATACACACACTCGCAGATCGTTTCCAAGTAAACTAATTCCCCCTGCTGCTCCTGTGGAAGGCTGCCATTGAATCCTTTGAGCTCACAAAAAGCACGGCAAATTATTTACAG